GCCCTAGTGTGCTTTGCCGTAATTAAATACACCAACACCACCTTATTATGGCATTAATTTAACTGAAGAATCTGAAGAATGTATTTTAGCTGTTAGATGTGCTTCTTCATTGAGATTGAGGAAGTGTTTGTTAATTAATATCGTGGTCATATGATATTGAGTAAAATGATAGAAATGTAGTTAAAAAGAGGTATTACATAAAATAGGGGTACTGTGTTTTCCTATGTCCCCATGTGCCATTTTTAGCTGCGATTCCAGGTGCAGGGTTCTGGTAAGAGAGTGGTCAGATGCACGTGGCTTGAATTGCCCAGAACTCCCTTCACACTTTACCTATACATTTTTCTTACTGAGCATTTGTGGATCCAGTTAATATACCAGTTGCTGAAGCGCTACAGTATCCAGCATTTGAAAAACATCATCTAGCAAATGTGGGGCAATTTGCTATGGGAAATCAGGAATCTGGCTCCATACTGTCTTGAATAGCAGCATGTGTCACAGTATGAGGCATTGCAACACAATACTGATGACCAGATTGCATACTATGTATCCTTCCATAATTATCCTTCTGCTGTGCTTTTTGAGAATCGTATCATTCCACTCTATCAGTCTGTGGATAAAATTTCAGTTCCTTTGTAATTTCCTTGTATGTAAGACCATATTGTTACGAATTTTGTACATAGATAATTTTAGTGAAATTATATGTGAAACTGTGGCATTTTTCTGTATAATGTAACATGTAAAGCTTGAGGGAAATGATGCTATGCCGGAAAAATAAGAATACAAGTTATTGGAAATATTGTTGCAGTTTAAGCTGTTATATTTATCTAAATGAAATTCAGAATGTCTATTCAACATTGAGTAAATGGCTGTCTCACTAATTTGGCCAGATATCCATGAGCTGGCAGTGGTTTCTTGTCGACTAATTTTTGTTACCAAATTTGGTGACGAATCACCAAAAGTCGCCAAATTTGACGACATTTTGGTCTTGATTCCTGTATTAGCTGTGACCACATCCAGCTCTCATATGCCTTCCAGTAATTTTGAGAAGCAGAAAGTACTAGAGATGTCTCGGCAGCTGGGGAAAACTATACAAGACCAGAGAGAGCATGAGTTTCTTAGTTGTTAGCTGTTCAAAGCTGAAGTCGGAGTTTGGAGACATCTAAGAGAGCTTTACCCTTTAGATGTGCTTAACATTACATTGCGTTTAACATTCTTAATAGTTTGAAGTGTAATTACTGATTGTACTCTGTGAAAGTGTGAAAAGAGTTTAACGAGTATTTTTGTGGAAAGTTCCAGAACTGTGATGTGTTCGTTTTAGTAAAATAAATTTTATCAGAGTATCATCAGTTCTGTGTGCATTCAATCCAGTATGAATCCATATTCATGCAACAGTATATTTATTCCTAATGCATTTGGCACATTTTCTTCAGGTACTAATGTAGAATTCACCTGTGTATGTAATAAGCAAATCATAGAAGAGTAAAACAAGTAATTGGTAACAAGTAATTGTTATAGTTTAAGCTGGTATATTTATCTAAATGAAATTCAGAATATTTACTTGCCATTTAATGTTCCTTACTTCATTATCATATTAAGTAGTGTAAATGGAAAATCAGTATCTTCATATACATATAAATAAGTAAATTATAACATTTTCATTTAAATTCCATTACATGATTCCAAGATTTGGATTTGCTGTGGTATTTATCAAAGTATGATGATTGTCAATGACCAAGCATAACAGTAACAATTTGTCCTGTTTGGTTTCACAGTGATTGAACAAGCTGGTTACGTGAAGTTTTCTTGATGTGAATGCATGCCATGTTTCATTAGAAAATCCTGCTGAAAAGTCTTCTTCCCATTTGACCTATGGGATTATGGAGTGCTTTACTATAATTAACAAATTAATGGCATTGTAGGTTTTCAATTTGTTTTATGTGTCAGTGATGCTAGAAGAATTTAAACAGCGGTTAACCTGAATATGTGCCATAAAAACAACTGCCTTTTGTGTAAGAACATTAGTTGCATAAAAATCGGTAAATGCAATTCCTCTTTAAAATTTTAAAATGAAAACTCTTTTCTGAAAAATAATTTTCTGCTTGGGAAAATATTTTCATATTTTAATTCTGATTTTAGAACTCTGCATTTAGTTATATTTGCATATTTTATAACTATTTGAAATATTCGTAACATCGATTATCAAAATCTACTAGAAAATTATCATATTGTGCAGTCAGGCACTATTCATTTGAATTCAGAGGTGGAAGCAGAAATGCTCAAATTATCCAATTTAAGTAAAAAAAAAAAATTATTTTGCTGAAATTTAACTTGGTCATCTCATTTTTATTTTATTTCTGTGGAAGTTAAGTTTTTCTTTGCATGTATATAAAAAAAGTGTAAAATATATACTGCAGCTATTTCATTAAAAAAATAGTATTTTTATTTTACTTACTGTTTATATATACATTAGAGCAAATTTCAGGTTTTGTCATTTGATGGAGGTTAAGAAAAAGATCTCTAACATTTGTACTTCATCAAATAACCTATTCCCCCCCTACCCTAATATTAGGTTTTGTAGTGCTTGGTATAGTGTGTTTTATTGTGTTAGTTTAATATTTCTCGTATTCACCTAATGAATCAGCATCTTTATTTTTATCTCTGTATTAATTTCTGTATCTGTTAGGTGTCCACAAGCAAATTCAGATATACAAATCATACAGATTATTTTTCTGAATAAAGTAGTAAAAGCTGTGATTTATTGTCTAATAAAACAAGGATTTTATCACACTGAAAACTAACTACAGGCTTTAACTAGATTGCATAATCACAATTCTTTTATTGGTGCTTACATTCTGAAAAAAAAAAATAAAGAAAGAGGAGCTGAATGGAAAATATTAAGCTTCTTTTATATCTATATGTATATTTTAAACTCACCACAAAAGTGATGATTAATTCAGTGTTTAAATTCAAAAGGAATGAAATCTGATGTTTTTTTTTTTTCATTTGATATAAAACTTTCATGGGTGCTAAGTTAAAACATTCATTTTTAATTGTTTAGAATCATGATAATGTAGTATTTGTATAAATCTGTGTTTAATTTATTTAAAAATTTTTAGAAATTAAAGTTCTTCCCCCCCATTTGATATAAAAGTTTCATGGGTGCTAAGTTAAAACATTCATTTTGAATTGTTTAGAATCATGATAATATAGTATTTGTATAAGTCTGTGTGTTTAATTTATTTAAAAAGTTTCAGAACCCTGTGCTTTAACTCAATGTTAATATCTCTAGTTTCTAGGTGTAATCTTCATATTTTCTTTGCATTTTCTTAAGATATTGTCTATTTCATGTCCTTGATAGTGATATTTTCTGAAATGCTTTCTTGCTCTTCTGAGTATTTATTCTAGTTTTCTTTGAATTTATCAAGGTGCACCCCAGAGGGACTGTGTGGCTGTTGTTTCTGATTACTTTAAGTATCCTTCTTAGATCTTATTATGTTTTTGAAAAGTCATTGACCATAGCAATAAAACTACAACAAAAACCTGTCGTAGGAACCTATTTAGGTAGTAGGCCCTATTTGACCCTATTTGGGTCGTAGGAAGTTTTTTTAGATATATCCTCACACCACTTTTATATCTCAATGTGACCCTTTTTAGCCAAAATCTGTCGTTTCTTGTTTTTATATTTGTTGAAAACAGTTTAGGAAATAAGCTACAGCAGTGTTGGGAAGCAGTCATTTTGCATCTGGTTTTGATCTGATTTGTAAATTGCTTTATTAAGCCTAATTTGATGTTCAGCAACATCTTCTGGAAATCAGTCATACTCTACACTGTAAATCCATTGACACCATAGTCTTTGTGATTAGTTCCCTCTGTGACTCTGTCTTTCTGTTTCGATTGTATTGGGTTTTCTAAGACTTGGGTTGGGTACTTGCTTCTGGTGTGAAGTAGTACAGTATTGAGATTTGTTTGAACATAGCTCTGGGAAAAAAAAAAAAAAAAGTGAAGAAACAGCATTTTTGGGGGATTGCAGACCATTATGATAGCATCAAACCTACTAGTGCTGCTGTTAAAGATGTGCATCCCAACCTGAAAAAGATCCTCCAAAATCTCTCGACAACTTCTTTGGACATAAGCTGTATACTTTCATTCAGTGAGTATTGATAATTCTGTTGCTGAAGACTGTGTCAAAATCTTTATATTGTAGTTTGTGAGATGAAGATCTTTGTCTAAGTTATTCATTGAGATAATAAATACATTCACTACATGTATTTATGAAAATTTTGATTGAGATCATCAGCCTTGTTTGTTGATTTGGTACTCTCTTCTTCTGGTGTTTTTTGTTTATAGATGTTTGCATTGTTACAAAGATGGGATATCCTAAACGAGGAATTTGCAGAAATTGCTGTGTTATTTGCAAAAGCAAAATATAAGAAATTTTTGCTAGCTTTTTTACTAAGCTTTTGGAAAATGACACTTTATACATAAAGGAAAAATCATGATTTTTGATGTAATTTATCTTTGAAACAACAATGAACTGTTTTAAAAAAATTACGGTGAAAGATTATTTAAAACAAAAAATCACAATGCAAATATGAAAGTTTTCAGTTTGAAAAGTGTTAGAGGCAGTATTTTTTAATGGAATAAAATGATAGTTATTTATGGGGGGGATGCGTAGCATTCAGATTTTTTCCAAGATCATAATTTCTTGATTTTTATTATTTAGAGTGTAGCATAATGCAAGTGGGTTCTTTTCTAATGCAGTTCCTCCCATTTATCTAATTACTTTTCAAACCATTTGTATTTTCCCATCTATCGAATCACCAGCTGTGCCTTCTTATGTTTAGAAAAGTGCATGAAATAAAAATTAATTATAATGCATATCTATTTATTAAAGTATTTTGTTTTTGTCATTTAAAAATAAACTGTTAATTTTATTATATATGCATTTAAAGTATATAAGAGTATACATACAGGCGTTTGAAAATACTTTTTTATTGCAGTTGGTAACTTCATTTAAAGCTCGGGACTTCAATGTGGTTTCAGCATTAAAGCCTTGTAACAAAGGAAAGAATCGATCTCTTAACCTCATTCCACTTGAATCATATAGGGTTCACATCACTCCAAAGCCTGGAACTGATGGTTCTGATTATATTAATGCAACCTTTCTGCAGGTAAGAGACAATTAATTCTGTTATGTCACTGAGATTGAACCACAGTTATAAAACGACAAATATCAAGTATTGAACATTGAAGATGCTGTATATTTGTATTTAGTTTTGCAAAATGGTAGGGTATCCTCTGTACTTTTCCAGTGGGCAAAATTACACTTTAGTCTTTTTTTTTTTCCCCCATCTTTTGATGACTAATTTATGGGTGTAGTCACCATGACTATATTCATACAGTAGAATTACTTTTAATGTGTCCGTCTTCTACTGATGGGGGAGATTTCATTTTGATAAACTGGTAGTTGTAGTGTTAATGTAGTTCTATATTCAGCATATGTGTTTGTCATCTTCAGTCCAGTCACTTATTAGAGTTACTATCATAGTGCATGTTAGCCAATAGATTAAGGAGAACAGTAACAATCAATGGAAAGACCTTGGTGATTTCATGAAACACTTCAGTTGGATCCTGAAAATTTTTTAATTTATGAGGGAGATCTTTCAACCTTAAATGTTGAATGATTTTACAAAATATAAATATGAAGCTGTTATAGATACTGAAAATTATAGATATGAAACTGTTTATTGTTAACTTAACAGTGGAGTGCACCGAATGATGTCTTAAAGATAATTTACTTAATTTGCAGTACTCGGAACAATTCTTGATTTTTGTTTTAGTAACAACTAAATTAAATGACATTAATTTAAATTCAGAATTTGCATGTTCTCTCAAGAGCCAAAGCATTGTTTCCACATCACAATGTGATTATTTAATAAGATAATGATAATAATCTTAAATTTAATTTAAAATGCCAGTTCTTCTTGAATTGCCATATATTTGCAGTAAAAAAATTATGACAAAATATTGACACATAGAATAGAATCATGGTTTTGCAACTGATAGCAATTTTTTGAGCCCTCAGAGTTCTCTTAGACTGAAAACAAATTTAGTTATAAATGATTGTATCCATACAGAATCTTTCTTTGTAAATAAATATGTATATATATGTATAAATTTTTCATTGCACCAAATATACCTGCATGCTACATTCATTATTTGCAGATACTATCTTGTTTGCTTTCATCCAGAGTTTGCTTAAGCTTATAAAGTTCATAAAAAACTTTATACATTCTTTTTATCATTATATAATGTAAAATGAAAAGCTGAATAAAAATGCAGAATTCTGCTCGCCTCCTGACAAAAAATACAACCAGAATGTTGGGAACTCAGAAAGCCAGTGGTATGGGGTCAAAAGGTGGATACAAATATATCAGTGACACACTTTTTTTGAGAAACAATTTTAATGTGAAATTTTATTAAATTCTAGCGAGATTACTCTATTTTTAGAACAGCAACTTCAGAAAGAGAGATTATCTCTTTAAAATCTTTCTAAAATCTAGTTTGGTTCAGATGAGCCTCGGATGTAGTCTTTCCCAATATAGTTAATTCTAGGTTTCATTGAGAATTATTTGTATCAGAAAACATACCATGGAACTTAGTCTATCATAAATATTGGTATTAAAATAATAAATGTTATCAAGGTGCATCCTTTGAACTCAAGGGTTTTTAGCAAATATGCAGAAAAATCGGCGAACATCAGCTTTTTTATATACAAAAGTGCACTGACTTTCAAAGGGTAGGGTCCTAACAAGACCATTTAAAGATGAAGTGGTTTTTGTTTTCAAATGGCAGTGATAATGATAAAAAAATTATGCTTTTTAACTAGTGGGAAAAGGCTATGTTACATTAATTTATGTAAATGATATATTTTCTCAAGTTGAACTAATAGAATTTAAATCTTCAAGGGAAAAATTAGGTATTTTATAGCTAATGATAAAATGAGGTATTTTATAGCCTTAACCCCTTCGCGCCAGGTAGCGTAAGACACTAGCTCAAATGCACGCTTATCGCGGAGGACGGCAGTGTCTTATGCGAGCATCTGTTCAGGGCTGGGGGCTTTTTTGCTATTAAGCCTAAATCCATGAAATTTCCGATTTATTGTTTAATAATGCTCTATAGAGTATTTAAACGGCTTATGCTTTATAGATATTTTTTATATATACTTTAATTACCTTATTTCTTGTTTAAATGCATATTTTACACATACTTATTATACATATTTATTTTCATTACTCACCATTTTATGAATTTTAACATTATACATCTGAAAACTAAATATATTACTTAAAATTCTTTTTTCGTATGAAAAATTTGAAAATCAGGATCTACACACAGTCCTACGTTACATTCCTTGCACTCGTAATAATGACATTGATGATGAGGACATTAATTAATTAAGGATTAATGATGATGAGGACATCTGTATGCCGACCGAAATGGCCTCATTGTCATTAGATTTGCCAAATTCTTTATGATCAGAATATATCATAGTCATTATCACTACTATCAGAATCTGTTTCAGAATCAATATCTGAAATATTTTGCATCATTTTTGCTATTTCATGCTCAGTTAAACATTTTCAACACTTCAACATTAACAGAAAGAATTCACGTCTAACAAGATCTAATTATTTTCTAAAAACTGAACTGCAAACCAAAATACCCAACGTTTTAGCAAAAATAAAACTTCTCTACTTACAATAAACAACTACCACGTGCGGAATTTAAAGAGACATCATAAATCACGGCATTTGGAAACATTTATTTCCCCTTTTGTTTATATAATCAAAAACATGTGTATGTGAGTCATGCTTCTCTCATTTCGAGTAGAAGGTCTAATGTACATGTATCTGAAACCATATGGACATACAGTGCCATCTTGTGGCAGAAATTATAGTTTTTAAAACATTCCAGGACACTGGCACAAATACGTGACAGTCGGGGCTGAACGGGAAAATGCTCTGGCATGCCTGCATGTCAGCAGAGAAAAGAGTGTGTTCATTGCTGGCACATAGACGTGACAGTCGGCGCAAAGGGGTTAATAAAAGAAAATTGATTTGTGGTGCTCATACTGCAAGAGACAAATTTTGATACATTTCTTACTTTAGAAAGTGTTTTTATAAGAAACAAATAAAAAAGTTGTTCAGTTGGTTATTAAAGATACAGCAACTCATTCGACAGATCTGAAGTATCAATTTAATGCTTATTTTCTCTAAGACTTTTCTGACTCTGAATAGATCAAAAATCCTTTTCAGTGTGTGTTACCCCAAAATTTATTTGATTTAAGCAAAAATGAACTGAGTTATCTGATGGAGAGTTAAAATTTGTTTGTAAAGAGCTTGAATTGAGCACTCTTTGGCTTCAAGTTTGAAATTAATATCCAGGACTCTCTGATGCAGCTTTAAAGGTAATTAGCATATGCCTGATTTGGGGGTTTTCCCAGTTTCTCTAAAATCTAAATACGGAAACAAATTAGCAGTAGAGCCACCTTTAAAATTTAAATTGATCAAAATTAGAGTCATAAATGATAATGGTGGTCAATTTTTCAACTAAACATTTGGAAACTACAGAGTTGATTTTCATTTCATTGTACTTGCTTTGACACTAATGTTTGTTTTGTATGAAGTAAATAAATTAACATCTTCCTGATTTTTAATATGACCTAGTGCTAGTTTTTGAGCAATCTGAAGTATAATATTGATTGTTTTTAACTTTTCAGTCAGTATGTTACTTCAATGTCCCAAGTAAGGTCACACTGCCACAAAGTTTGAATACCACTGTTCTAGGCAAATGTGTTGCAGTCATACTCAGTAGAAACTCAGTGCAAGCCGCATGTTGGTTAGGAATTAAATACGTAGCACAGGTGCATGAAAAAAATGATCAAAATGGAAAAAAAGGCTTTATGCTGGTTACATTAACATATCAAGTCAAATTACAAGTTTGGCAGTAGACCATAATTGTAGTTTTTGTCTCGAATTCCATGTCAAATGTCTGCTGTTATGTAAACATATTCAATAAGTAATCACTAACATAAGTAAATTTTAAAAGTAAAAATTAGAATCATTAAAGAAGTTTTTGTAAAGAAGGTCTATTTGGAATCAGAGTTTTTATTTATTACATATCTGTATAATCTTCAGAGATATAATTAAACAATACTCTTGTCTTTGAGTGCATGGAAACAGCCATATTTTCTTTTCAAATCAATATAATTTTAATGGCATTTCTCATTAGCAAAATTACAGAAGTTTGCTCAAATGTCACAGTAGTTGAAACCGATACCTCATTTAGTAAGAAAACAAATATTTACTATGTAGTTACCTCTAAATGTTACTCTTGAGGTAGTAAAAGGGGATTGCTGAAATCTATTAATTTTAAAATGCATACATAGTTTTAAGAACTTTTATTTTTCATTTCCTGGTATACTTTGTCAGTAGGAATCTGGTGAAGATCTGTGTTATCATCTGTCAGTCAATATAGTGGTTAGTGATGCTGGTTGTCATACCGGTGGGCTCAGGTTTGAATTTCGGAGACGTCATTAATATTTGTGTACAGAAAGTGGGTGCTCAAAATACATCACAAGCTGAGAGGTTGGTAATAAGGGAAGGGGTGTGGGAACTTTCAGATTTCAACTCCTTGCCACAATGTTTTCTCTCATAAGTTTGGCAGAAGCTTAACAGTTAGCAAAGCTTAATGATATCTAGCCTACATTTAGAAATGCACAGGTGCTGGTATTGCTTCAACCTGTGTCTGACACCATCATTTGCCATCCTGATCAGCAGAGTGGTTAGTGCTCTTGGCAGCTGCATTATTAGGCTCGTTTTCGAATCCCAGAAAAGGTGTAGATGTTTGTAAGTGTATAATGCCTGTTTTGAAGGGGGCATTCAAAATATGCAATAAGCCGTCCTTCTCAAATAACTTGTGATAGGGAAATAAATGTGGGAGACCCTTAGAGTGCTCCGTCCAAGGATGCTCTTCATCGAAATTGGAGCAGAGCTTTAGCCAGTATATCGAGACTACACAATATTACCAATGATGAATAACTGATGTCCCACCTCACTTGTACCTTTACCTACCATTACCTGTTTTTAGAATTTTCAAAATCTTTACA